GTTCCGCATAGAGGAACTTACCATGACAAAGTCCACTGAGCAAACTATGCAAGGGTAGGGTTAGAGTTAGGGCTAGGGTTGGGGTACTGTACTTTACACTTCGCTCAAAATTCCCTAGATCTAGGTTCTTTTGTGTGTTGTTGGTCGGCCGGCCCTCTGCGTAACTCCTGGGACTAATTGCACATCAAATTCAGAGGCTCCTGAAACAGACATGACACCCCTAACTGACCTAAAGATAATCATTTAATATAATCATACATCGCCTACTCACAGAAAGCATTTTCGGTTTTTAAAATTACCCAAAATGACATTTTGTAAATTTCATATTCTCTGCGGAGCTGATCTCTTAGTCTTAGTCTTTGTCTCAAGGAAGTGGCTATTCTCACCCGGGGTGAGAATAAAAATACGATCTACCTCTCACCCCGGGTGAGACTTGCCAGCGTAGGCTATTCTCACCCGGTGTGAAACAAGACCTGTTTTTCCTCATTTCGGAATACTTTCTATCGGTGTGGATGATCAAATTGATAAAAGCCAAGAAAACATTACGTTATAGCACAAAAGTAAGCTAATTTAATCATCTTCAAAGATGCTATGGCTATTTCACTTTTCGAATCGAGCTGAACTACACGGGTCGCCATTTTGTTTTGCCCGGAAGTTCTCGCAAGATCTCCTCCTCCCCCTTCTCTCTCTCAGTCTCTTTCTGAATACTGTCTATCAGTGTGGATGATCAAATTGACCAAAACAAAGTTTAAAAAAGATGTTAAAAAACAAAAGTAAATTAATTTGGTCGTCTACAAAGATGCTACGGCTATTTAACTTTCCGAATCGAGCCGAACTACGCAGGTCGCCATTTTGTTTTGCTCGGAAGTTCTCGCGTTACTCCTCTTTTTCTCTTTCTCTCTCTCCACTGCCCACAGACAAAATTGTACGCTTTTAGGCTAACACTAACAGTAGATCTAGTAATAGATCTAGATATCTAGATCTAGAACGTTTGTTCACAGCACAGAATTCTACAATTCTCTTATCACAGTGTAGAATTCTGTGGTTCAGGGTGAACGCTTCACTGGTTGGCCTACGGTGAACGCCCACCGGGTGAGAATAACCAAAAGACTCGCCTGCGCTATTCTCACCCGGGGTGAGAATAGAGGTGGCCTTGTCTCAAGACAATAGAAATAGACTCTGGCTTATTTAGATTTTGGAAGTGCCTATTCTCATCCGGGGTGAGAAAAGAAAAACGATCTACCTCTCACCCCGGGTGACACTTGCCAGCGTAGGCTATTCTCACCCGGTGCGAAACAAGACCTGCTTTTCCTCATTTTGGAATACTGTCTATCGGTGTGGATGATCAAATTGATAAAAGCCAAGAAAAAATTACGTTATAGCACAAAAGTAAGCTAATTTGATCATCTTCAACGATGCTATGGCTATTTCACTGTTTGAATTGAGCCAAACTACGCGGGTCGCCATTTTGTTTTGCCCGGAAGTTCTCGCAAGATCTACTCCTCCCCTCTCTCTCTCTCTCTTTCTGAATACTTTCTATCGGTGTGGACGATCAAATTGACCAAAACAAAGTTAAAAAATGATGTTAAAACACAAAAGTAAATTAATTTGGTTGTCTACAAAGATGCTACGGCTATATTTAACTTTTCGAATCAAGCCGAACTACGCGGGTTGCCATTTTGTTTTCACAGTGGATATTTTTACGGCTACCGTAAAGAAACAACGGGGATCTGCAGTGATCATGTAGATCTGGGTCTTGTTACTGGCATTTATCCACTTTTTCTTTTACCTTTTCTTCCCAGTCATGAGCAAAACGTTCATCTCACCTCCCCACCCAATCTTCCACTTTTCTTACAGAAGCCAAAGACACCCTTTCCCCTCTGAGGTGTAAGTTTATATTTTGAACGGCCCCTATAGGCCTAGATCTAATACATTGAGGCATGTCGCGTACATGAGAGGCGGAGTAGGGTCGCTTTTCGAGGATCGCCGTAAAAATAGCCTGGGACTCACTGGGAGGCTATCTTTACGGCACGCCGTAAAAATAGCCTGGGAGATAGCCACTGCGTTTTGTTTTGACCGGAAGTTCTCACGCTACTCCTCTCTCTCTCTCTCTCCACTGCCCACAGACAAAATTGTACGCTTTTAGTAGGCTACAGTTGTAATGGAACGTTTGTTCACGGCACAGAATTCTACAATTTTTCTGTTATCACAGTGTAGAATTCTGTGGTTTAGGGTGAACGCAAAATTTGTTGGCCTAGATCTAGATCTAGGCTATAACGGTGAACGCGCACCGGGTGAGAATAGTCAAAAGACTCGCCTGCACTCTTAGATTTTCTGTGCGAAGTGATTATTCGGACTCGAGTCCGAATATCAAAAAATGTTATTCAGACTCTGATTCTTGTCCAGCATGACATCACTTCCGACTTCCTGTGACTCGTGACTCCGGCTTCCTGTCCTGCCTCACTCGTGACTCGCCTCAGGCTGGGTAGAGACCGGGATTACTTCGGGCAAAAAGGCGTTTTGTGCAGGAGCCGAGTTGTTATCTTATGATGAATTTGAGGCCGGCTTGAAAAGTTATAGCGCTTCTAATAAATGTTTATTTGTCAAGGGATCATCAGAAGCAATTAAAGATGGCTCGTTAGAGTGTGTCGGGGTCGGATGGGCGGCCTGCACATGTGTGGCTGTGTGCGTGTCAGGGAGGGGGGGGGGGGGCACTATCGGTCCGGGCGTTGAACGTCGCATAGGCGTCAGTCTTTTTCCCCCTGGCAACTGATCATTATTACAATAATAAGCTAATCTTGACGTAGATCTACGTAATGAAATGTGCGCTGGTCTATGGCATGGAATCAAAAGTTGCCGTATGCTCAGCTGGCTCTACACAGCAACACAACTTTTTCTTGGTAAACAATCGAGATGACACAGGCTTGTGTGTATTTGAACGAATTGGTCTTTTTTTTTTTACTTACACAGCTCATAATATGCAGGTGCCAGGTGGTCTGCTAATCTTCAATTCTACCTTTTCTACAACAAAGAAAGTGGGAAACATGGGGGGGGGCGTATCAATGAGGCGGCAGGCATCGGATCGGCAGAAAAGGTGTGGGGGAAACTAAAAAATGGCGGAAAATTGGAAGCACTGAACGTTAGATCTATAGAACGAAGACACTTCCTTTTTTCCGGACCCGAGTCCGAATAACATTTTTTCGGTAAATTTTTACTTTCACTCCCGCACACAGATGCACTGTTTCAGGGGTCAAACTGCTGTACTGTTTGCTGCAGATCACACATAAAGCCACTAAAACTGTCGCAAATCAATTATTTTCAAGTCAATTTCAAATCTAGCTGTAAAATATCAAATTATGGGTGTAAAAACAAGGGGGCATGTCCCCCTGTAACCCCCCAGATTTTCTTTTACCCCAGTGGGGCATGCCCCCCTGGAACCCCCCGATTGGTCCAAAGCATGTCTATCTCGGTTAAAAACAATCAAATATTTCAAAAACTATTAATTTGCGACGGAAATGAAGTTGATATTCGTGTTCAGATTCAGCGCATCAATATTTAGTAGAAAATAGACAACTGGTAGCTGAGTGTGAGACGGGTGGGAAAGTAAAAAAATACAATTTTTTCATATTCGGACACGAGTCCAAATAAGACATTTTTTTATTCGGACTCGAGTCAGAATATGAAAAAATGTTATTCGGACTCGAGTCCGAATAACGACGGCCAACCCTTTTCTGTGACCACCCCTAATAGCCCTATCAGGCATGGACAGAATCCTATAGATTCACATAACAGAATTACAAAGCAGACTCATATTTTACTCTTCTTATATTCATTTGTGAGATCAGAAAGCGAATGGCGTGTTGAACAAGAGTCAAGTCCAAGACAGAAAATGTGGTGAAAACAATCCACTTCACTGTCTAAGTCTTGTCTTGACTGATTGTATCAACCTTGTCCTTACCTCCGCCTCCTTCATTCGTGGGAATTCCCTTCGTCTCATCCCATGCTAAATGGTGTCTCATCAATAAATCTAGTATCTGGGCAGCTAATAAACCAGTTATAACCGTAAGCCTGAAAGAAAGAGTGGTGGTAGACCAAGGCTACGTACAGATTGAATAGCGAAACCTGTTTGTTGTGCCAGCTGGACTTCCCATTGTGTTGAATACAATCGTTGTGAAAATAGACAAAATAGAAGAACATCGTGATTCGTAAGAATATCTCCTAAACGCACAACAAAAGTAATCCTCTGCAAATTCCTATTTCTCGATCCCCTCTTTGAGTGTTTGGACTAGATCTAAATGCAATACATACTCTCACGTTTAACGTCAAAATGACACGTTTCCAACGAGGGCAAGTGTGTGTTCAATACCTGCCCTGACTCTTAAGTTAAACATTCCGAATGTCAAGTGAGCAACAAAAACCGTAATAGCGACAGTAGCTTATGTTTGCATTAAGTATTTTAAGCTTGCGGTTGCTTCTTAAAGCTTGTATTGATAAGTTCATTATTTTCAGAGTACAACAGAGAGTATTCCAAAACTGCTGTGTCTTCTTTTGGGGGTATATTAGGTCCCCATAAACAGAAGTATATTTAAGAAGCGGGCTTTGACCCAGGCTGTCACTAGTGTCAGAGTCAACCCTGGCTGAGAGGGAAATCCCAGCAGAAAGACCGAGTCCGAGGTGCTAGATAAACATTCTCCCCACTCGGGAATCGTTCAATCGAGCTCATGTCTTCTCTGCTGCATGTGATAATGGTGCACCTGGTCTTTTCGTAACAAGACAGATGCTGGGAGAAAGAGAGAGAGAGAGAGAGAGAGAGAGAGAGAGAGAGAGAGAGAGAGAGAGA